GCTGCCCACCAGCTCTGACGGCTGAACCGCCCTACAGAAGGTCAAAGTTCACAGTTACATTCATGTTTCTGTGTTAAACTGCTAAATATGAACAGAAAAAACACCGCAGTTCCATCTCAAAATGATGATTTAGACACTTTATAATGCAAATAATAAATATTCATTACTTAAAGTAAGACACTAGGAGAGCAGGGTGTAGATATCATTAATCACAGTAAATGAAGACAATTGTTTTCTGTTACAAGTTTCCCTGAATGCTATGTTTAAATGTGCAATAATATGCTATAAATTGCATAGATTTTCAGAAAATAAATCTGAACATTTGATAAAGCCAGGTTCAAAATTCTTGTTTGATTCTGTTGACAGAGTTAAAGGGTTTTACTGAGACCAGCTAGATAAAAAAAAAAAAAAATTCACCATGTTTTAGGAATAAGATGTTATAAAAACTCAGGAAAATTATATATCAACAATCCCCTCAGTAAAAACATTCATAATATAGAGAGGAATAAAACTCTAAGTTTTGGTGTTTGTAAGTGCTGCTGAAGTGGAGAAAAAACTCTTTAGAGATATGGATTGGAATTGAAATCTACAGATGAAAAATAGATTAAGTGCGATAAAATAAACACTTAAATGTGTATTTTGGATGTTTTCTGTCCACTAGTCTGAAAGAAGACAAGTATGGAAGCAAAATAGACCAAAATCTCAAAACTGACTAGTGCATGAAAACAAACAAACAAAAAAAACACTGGTTTTGTCTGCAGTGTCTCGTCTTATTACACTTTATCTATTTGCGTCTGTAGATTTCAATTCCAATCCATATCTTTAAAGAGTTTTCTCTTACACACACATGTGCATATTGAATTAGATGAAGCATTGTTTACATGTTTAAACATACAATTTTAGAAAACGTATTAAAGCTGCAAGCAGTGATGAAAAAGCCACTGCCACCTGGTGGCCTTCAGCAGACGGTGATATGCATTTAAGCGGGAAAATAAAGGAGGAATGTCATAAATCAGAAAATACTGTCAACAGACAGAAAACAAATACATTTACACCGTGTTTTAGGAATAAAACGTTATAAAAACTCAGGAAAAATATATATTCACAAACCCCTCAGTAAAAACCTTCAGAATATAGATAGGAATAAGACTGTAAAGTTTGGTGTATGTAAGTGCTGCTGAAGTGGAGAAAAAACTTTTTAAGGAAAAGGCCTTTAAAAGGTATGTATTGTAATTGAAGTCTACAGACACGAATAGATGGATGTTTTCAACCTAAATCTAAAAATGACCAGAGCATGAAAAAATCCTTAACTCATGTAAGAGCTTGAACACAAACACAAGCTTCACTCTATTGTAATTGTACTGTAACATGTTTCCTGTTCGTTCAGAAACACTGAGAGACGATCGTCTGTGGAAACTGACAGCAGCACAAATGAAGTGAAAATCACCCAGAATGCTCCTTTAATCAGGAGCCGAGGTGTTTTGAGTGTGTGATTTGGTTCAGTGTTTTGGGAGACGGGGGCACAGAACGGCCTCATGGGAAACGGAGCTGAGGTGGTGACCTTGGGTACGACGCTCACTGCCTGTTCCCACAGAGGTGAAGGGAAGTGTGTGTGTGTGTCACAGCTGGACTCTCTATTGTGTTAAACAGCCCCATTTTCTGTGCAGACAGTTGCCAACGGCGCAGAAAATAAAAAATACAAACAGGAAATCCAGCCTTTTTCCCTTATGAAGAAAACAACAACAACAAAATATGAAACGAAACAAACAGAAATTAACGTTCAGGCCTGTGCATTTCTTCATTTTGACTAATCGAGTACTAATAAATCATGAGCTCCATACAGCTGTGTAACATTATGAATGTCTTTATGGTCCCTTTTGATTAATTTAATGCATCAATGATGAATAAAAGTTTACATTTATTTTAAAAACATTTTTATCATCAGAGAATTAAAACAAGAAAGCAAGCAAGGCCACAGAATTATTGCTACACTCAAAAAAAAAAAAGAAATAAATAAATGAAATAAATTTAGGCCCAAATATAAGATTTATGTAACTGAGTTGCATATAAAATGTCCATGCATTTGGATTACACAGTTTTAACAAACTAATAAACTTAATGTGATGGACATTTGTCAGTCAAAAAAAAAAAAGTTTTTGAATAACTTTTTGCATGTATTTGATTTTATTCAAATAATATTTTCAAAATGCATTTATTTAAATAGCTTAGAATCAACATAAATCTGTTAACTGTGAAAACAATTACATGCATTAAGTTAAAAAAATATGAACTTGGTAAAATATGACTAGCTGTGGAACAAGCAATATTCAGTCAGTTAAAATGTAAGAGAATGGAACAAACTGGATTTATGAATGATAAATATGTAAACCTAGTTATTGTTTATTTTAAACACATTCAGTTTATAGTACTATTACAGAAATCTGACCCGTTTCATTTAAGTATGACTGTAATACACAATAACCAGGTTTATACATTTATGTAAATAGGTTTATATATAAATGCATTTTAAAAAATATGATTATTTAAATAAAATCAAATAGATGCAAATAGTTAATAATAAACTATACGATTGCTAACACTTTATTTTAAGGTGTCCGTGTTACACGTTACATGTACTTACTATTATAATAACAATTAATTATGCATAATTACATGCAAGTAACCCTAAGCCAAACCCTAATCCTAACCCTAATTCTAACCCTAACTATATAATAAGTACATGTAGTTAATTAATATTACTCAGTACTTATATGTATAATTACACTGTAACAAGGACACCTTGTGTGGAATCATTTCATGAGTATTTTATGGTCCATTTCTGGTCGCTGTCCGCTTATAGGGTAATGAGCAGTGTGAACATTCAGCTAAATATCTCCACTTAAGAAAAACAGGGTTTGATTGACATGAGAGATCAGAGGTCACTGGCTGAGGGTCGCACCTGTAGAAGTCGGACTCCAGCAGCGTGAGTTGTCGGGCGATCTCGATGGGGTGAAGGGTCATGAGGTCAAACTGATCCGTCTGTCCCGCTTTACACAGGTGCCACTCGATGGGTGGCGGCGAGCTCTCGAACGTGATGTTGTGACTGGGGCCGTTGGCTTGAGCCTGTTTCTTCCTCTGGATGATCTTCGTGATGGACTCCACCCACTTCCTCATGGCCTTACCTGCAGACAGGTGACAGGACCAATGTTAGAGACAGAACTGAGCTGAGATCAGATTTATGCAGAAGAGTTCTTGTTAACCAGCCACCAGCACGAAAACTGACAGGTTATTTTTTCTTGTCAAGTTTTATATTTGTGTTCTTTTGAAAGCCACAGTGAAATCCCATTGGCTCAAAATCCAGTGCATCATTGTCACTTTCAGAAATAATGATGGACAGAAAAATTATGGGAATCACATTGGAATTCGGTTACATCATGGCTGGTCAGGACACTATGACATTTGTTTTATTTTTCCCAAATCTCATGGTTTCTGGATTCCATTTAATGGTGTGCATTTCTAATCAATTAAATTCATAAAAACGTATTAAAACTTCAGCAATAATAGTTTCTTATAATTCCCCCCTCAATTCTGTTTTCTGTTTGAATTTTTCTGGATGCCATTTTTATGGTTTAACTCAATTTTAATAATCAAAAAATATGTCTAATTAATTGAATTCATAAAACGTTTACAATTTACTATTTAAACATTAACAGTTCCCTATGAAATAGGGATGTTTTTTTTATTTTATTCTGTGTTGTCTATTTTAATTTGTCTACAAACTTATAAAAAATGGTGCTAATCAAATGGATACATAGAACTTTATCAATTTAATTAAACTTTTAAATTATAATCAAATTAAATTTGAACAATTCCTTTTATTTTTTGGCAAACAAAGTGTTGCACGACAGAGTTTTACTGTTTAAATTAAAACATGGATGAAAAATTGAGTGATTTTGTGTCATATTCCATAAAAAACTTTTAATAAACTGTATTATTATTACTTTTAGAAGTACATTCTACTGTATAATAATATATTTCTCTCCAAGTCAAGATTTGATTAAGTGTACAGCTCTACTTTTGATTTATCCATCTGAATTTTGCCAAATTCTGTGACATTCTCCATTACAGATTAAATATGGTTTTTATGACTGGATTTGACTGGAAGGCCCTAGACATGTTTTGAAGATATTTCCATAGTTTTACCATGATGATTACGGTGATGATAGAGTTCTGGAAGTTTGTGTTCGTACCTCTGACCATACCGATAAACTCCTCCAGCCGCCGGAGCAACTGAGCGTCTCTCTCAAAGTCATAGAAATGATGCTCGACCCAGTGCCTGCACACATTCAACACCCTGCAGACACAGATATGCATGAGAGACAGCCGTATGATACGGTACTGCTGTGTGTGTTTGCGAATGAGAGTGAGCGAGTTAGAGTGTGTGTGTGTGTGCGCGCGTGTCAGTTAGAGTGAGTGAGTGCGTGAGAGTGCGAGTGATTGAGTGCGTGAGTGTGAGTGAGTGTGCAAGTGTGAGTCAGTGTGCGTGTGAGAGTGCGTGAATGAGTGACTGTGAATGAGTGCGAGTGTGTGTGAGTGTGAGTGAGTGTGCGAGTGCGTGAATGAGTGACTGTGAGTGAGTGTGCGAGTGTGAGTGCGTGGGTGTGAGTGTGTGTGAGTGTGCGAGTGTGTGGGTGTGAGTGAGTGTGCGAGTGTGAGACAGTGTGCGTGTGAGAGTGCGTGAATGAGTGACTGAGTGAGTGTGAGTGTGTGGGTGTGAGTGAGTGTGCGAGTGTGAGTCAGTGTGCGTGTGAGAGTGCGTGAATGAGTGACTGTGAGTGAGTGTGCGGGTGTGAGTGTGTGGGTGTGAGTGTGCGAGTGTGGGTGTGAGTGAGTGTGGGTGTGAGTGTGCGAGTGTGGGTGTGAGTGTGTGGGTGTGAGTGAGTGTGAGTGTGGGTGTGAGTGTGCGAGTGTGGGTGTGAGTGTGCGAGTGTGGGTGTGAGCGAGTGTGCGAGTGCGAGTCGGTGTGCGTGTGAGAGTGCATGAGTGAGCGACTGAGTGAGTGTGCAAGTGAGAGTGAGTGAGCGAGTTAGAGTGTGTGAGTGTGTGTCAGTGTGAGTGAGCGCGTGTGAGTGTGCGAGTGATTGAGTGCGTGAGTGCGACTGAGTCAGTGTGTGTGTGAGAGTGTGTGAGTGAGCGACTGTGAGTGAGTGTGTGTGCATGGGTGTGAGTGAGTGTGCAAGTGAGAGTGCGAGTGATTGAGTGCGTGAGTGAGTGTGCGTGTGAGAGTGTGTGAGTGAGCGACTGTGAGTGAGTGTGTGTGAGTGTGCGAGTGTGTGGGTGTGAGTGAGTGTGCGAGTGTGAGACAGTGTGCGTGTGAGAGTGCGTGAATGAGTGACTGAGTGAGTGTGAGTGTGTGGGTGTGAGTGAGTGTGCGAGTGTGAGTCAGTGTGCGTGTGAGAGTGCGTGAATGAGTGACTGTGAGTGAGTGCATGTGCGTGTGTGAGTTAGTGTGTGCGAGTGAGCGAGTATGCGAGTTTGAGTCAGTGTGTGCGTGAGTGAGTATGAGTGTGTGTGTGTGTGTACCTGAGCTGTACAGGCTGAACAAACTCTTTGCGGAAGCGTTTGAGTTCTGCGCTCAGCGGCTGGTCTCCGTTCTCCATGGCCATCTGATCCGCTTCTGTGGGTTTAGGTTCGGGAATATCAAACCTGGATCGCAAACACACAGACCGCTGTATGGAGAGATGTTTCCGTGGATACGACAATAACTTCATATCATTACAAAAAATATCATCATGACTATAAACTTTTAAATACTTTAAACAGCTGATTATGGGTGAGCTGTTTGTTTTATTTAAATCAGTGTATTACAACCATTTTTAATAAAAAAAACTATAAATGATAGTGAAAACAGTAAACACACTATCAACTATTTATGCACTATTGCAGGTGTTTGCAGTGCTGATTGTGAGAATGTGAGCATCTGACCTCTCCATGAGCAGATCCAGCAGCTCCTGAGGTTTACAGAATGATCGGCATGTGGTCAAAAACGTCCTGACGAAATTGGGATCTGAAAAAAAAAAAGGAAAAAAATTGTTTAACAACAACCATTTGATTGTGTTTGTCAAACTATTTCCTTCAACCCACAGTGCAAATGAAGCACTACATTTGTATTTGAAGTCCATTTTATACCATATATATATATATACAGTGGGTACGGAAAGTATTCAGACCCCCTTAAATTTTTCACTACAAATGTGAGTGAGTGCAAGTGAGTGTGTGCGTGTGAGTAAGTGTGCGAGTGCGTGTGAGTGAGTTAGCGAGTGTGCGACTTGAGTGTGCGAGTGTAAGTCAGTTTGAGTGTGCGAGTGTGAGAGAGTGTGCAAGTGGGTTAGAGAGTGTGTGTGTGTGTGTGTGTGTGTGTGTGCTGAGTGTGAGTGAGTGCATGTGCGTGTGTGAGTTAGTGTGTGCGAGTGAGCGAGTATGCGAGTTTGAGTCAGTGTGTGCGTGAGTGAGTATGAGTGTGTGTGTGTGTGTACCTGAGCTGTACAGGCTGAACAAACTCTTTGCGGAAGCGTTTGAGTTCTGCGCTCAGCGGCTGGTCTCCGTTCTCCATGGCCATCTGATCCGCTTCTGTGGGTTTAGGTTCGGGAATATCAAACCTGGATCGCAAACACACAGACCGCTGTATGGAGAGATGTGAGATGTTTCACGACAATAACTTCATATCATTACAAAAAATATCATCATGACTATAAACTTTTAAATACTAAATACTTCTGATTATGGGTGAGCTGTTTGTTTTATTTAAATCAGTGTATTACAACCATTTTTAATAAAAAAAACTATAAATGATAGTGAAAACAGTAAACACACTATCAACTATTTATGCACTATTGCAGGTGTTTGCAGTGCTGATTGTGAGAATGTGAGCATCTGACCTCTCCATGAGCAGATCCAGCAGCTCCTGAGGTTTACAGAATGATCGGCATGTGGTCAAAAACGTCCTGACGAAATTGGGATCTGAAAAAAAAAAAGGAAAAAAATTGTTTAACAACAACCATTTGATTGTGTTTGTCAAACTATTTCCTTCAACCCACAGTGCAAATGAAGCACTACATTTGTATTTGAAGTCCATTTTATACCATATATATATATATACAGTGGGTACGGAAAGTATTCAGACCCCCTTAAATTTTTCACTCTTTGTTATATTGCAGCCATTTGCTAAAATCATTTAAGTTAATTTTTTTTCCTCATTAATGTACACACAGCACCCCATATTGACAGAAAAACACAGAATCGTTGACATTTTTGCAGATTTATTAAAAAAGAAAAACTGAAATATCACATGGTCCTAA